CAATCATAGTGTCTAATTCAATACTTTGTGGTGTGTTTTAATAACTAATTCTTTAAGCGGGATCTTTTTGTAAGATTTACTCTCCTGTCTGTTTAAAGTTTAATAATCTTCTGTTACTCGGCAAGACAACGGGACTTTTCTTTTTTTGTGTGCGTGGCGTGTGAGCGGGGGGGGGGGGGGGGTAACTTTTTAAAAACCCTATCCCTTCAAAGGTAGACTAAAAGATCCTTAAAGCAAACAGGTTACGGACTCTTTCCCTCCACTCAGAAGAGCCCGTATGATCAAGTCTACGTTGGCTCAATATGAATAAATAATACACACAAAGAAAAAGAAAACAATCAGTAGAGTAATCTCCTCACTCACCATGGCAGCAGAACAGTGAGGCTAGCATAGCCCACGCCACACAGCCCAGAGATGGACACACTCCAAAGACAGGTAGTCTGGTCTAGTAGTCCAGTAATGAATTCCAGCAGTCGTTATCTTGTCACACCACACCGCGTAGCAACACACCAAACATACAACACACACCACATACACACGTACAGTTACACACCCACAGGGGCACAGGACACAGGGATGACGACGATGGGTGCGGCTGAGAGTGACAGTAGGCAACAGAAGATGCACACACAATCACACACACACAGTTGAGCCAACAGCAGGCCAGATGCCTGGGAGGTGAGATCAATAGGCCAGCTCTCAATCTTGAGTAGGTGTGGTGGGTCGCACAGCTGTGCACGTCCAGCCCCCTCCCACACACACACTCCACCCTGCGACAGTTGTATCTGCGTTTTGTTATTGCACCTCCACACTTCCTAAACACCACTTAGCCAGATCTTCTTACAAACATCGAAGGGGGAAAAAATTAGAATTGAGGGCCTTGTGTTACGCACAACAAGAGAGTGGGGAAAAAAACAACAATAAAAAGTAAAGAAATTAAATCAGTAGCGAAAAATATTTTACACGACTGTTACTCTGATAGCTTTCATGAGTTCACAAAAGAAAAAAAAAAAAAGAAAAACAACCACAGCAGAACCAAAGGAACAGGTGTAAAAAATTATCTTCGATGACAAAACAAAATCTGTCGCTTCTGAATTTTCAAATAGGTTCCAGTTACACTTTTTCAGCATATTAATTCAACAAGCTAGACTTGAAATAAATCTTAAAGGCAAAACAAACCAAAAACAAAAAAGTTAATGTCAAAGTTTTACAACAAATCACGTTATCGCCAGCTTGCGCTAATACGAGCTTTTGGCAGAAATGTTTACCTTATCTTAGGGGGAAAAACAATCTTTTTAAAAAGTTTGAAAAAGAGATAATACTCTTGAAAATGTTCTATTTTGGGATACAAAAATAATGTCAATACACACATACACACATGTACACTCTTTCACAAACAGACATGCAGATAGACAGACAGGCAGACAAATAGACAAACACACACACACACACAAACACACACACACACACACACACACACACACACACACACACACACACACACACACACACACACAAACACGCGCGTGCTCACAATATGGATCAACATAAAAAGGTTAAAACCTTCATAAATAATATAAATGTCAATTATTATTTCTCGTTCTCAGCGAAATACAAAAACACATCAACTCATTCCATAAGGAAAACACAAAAGCCGCAATTGAGCCTCACTCCACAAAGAGAACAACAAATGACATTCAAATAAAGGGGCTGCTTAGGAACCCCTGACAGCCGTACAGACATGTTTAGAAATACCAATGAGCTACCACAGGCGACCGAAGCACACGAAATTGATTTCACACTCTCGATACACAGTCCCCACATCCAACGACAGCCTGGCCAAATCACAGTCTCTGTGACTAAAGCAAACGTAAACGACCACTGTGCCATTAGAATCTGGGGGCCTTTTGTACCGAGTCACCACAACGTACGTGGCTAATTACAGCGTTGTATCAATTCTGTCCGTGATTTTTCAAGTAGCCTTGGTTTATAACACAATGGTTACCGCCACCCCCACTATCCCCTCCCCCCCCCCCTCCCGAAAGAAAAAAATTAATAAATTTGGGTCGCCACATTTTGCTAGTGTTTTAATTTTGGTTCCAAATAATATTGCAAGGGCCACCCCCACTTCATATTCTTTTACAAAAGTTTCACTAATTATTATAATTATTATTAAGAGACGTGCGTTAAATGGCAGCCATACGTATAAAAAGCGCTTACTCTGCCCTAAAGAGATAGAGGAACAATGCACACACATTGCTGTTTTACCTGTTAACTCAAAACGACATGAACACAAACATTTGAAACCCAATGTGCAAACGTCATTATTTAACCAATTACCCTCAAAATAACAAGATGGCATATTAACCCCCCCCCCCAAAAAAAAATAAATAAATAAATAAATAAAATAAAACAAAACAAAACATTTTAAAAAATAATAAAATAAAATAAAATAAATAAATAAATAAATAAATAATAAATAAATAAATGAATAAATAATTCATGCACTCTACCAGTTTCCAAAACTTAACATGTGAGAACAAACAACAAATATATTTCACTATTCAAGCTTAGAATAACAAAACGGCAATAGATTTCACAAAAATAATAAAATAACCAGTTCATGCACTCTATAACAGTCTCCAAATTTTAACATGTGAAAACAATCAACAAACCTCATGTTCTACATAAAAACAGAGTAAGAACCAAGCCTGATCATTATACACTGAAGACATTTTTCATTTGCTTTTGAGCTCTGAAAACTGTCCACATTCCAAACAAAGAGTAACACAAAAGCTACCATTTACTATCAGAAGAAAAGGCCCCATTTGGGACGTACACAATATCAATCATATCAAAGCCCTGGTATCTTATGAAACTCTGAATCACGAAAACATGCAATAAACATACATAAAGTGGGCATACAGGAAGACAAAAAAGATATCTAATTACAGCACTTAAAAAGTTATGATTGGATAACATAGCTATGCCCCAACCATTTCAGTACATTTCAGGATAGTGTTTACAAGAAACAAATATTGGTCTAATGCTCCTATATAGTGATTGTCTGTTTCTGCATCCAGACATACACTCAAAGCATTAAGTACAATGTACTGAATATATTCAGCATGACAATGAATTTCTAAATTATAAAAAGTATGACAGTCAGAACAACGCAGAATCTGCTGTTATAACAAGGCAAGACTAATCGTAAAATTACAACATCCAGTACTAGTTTTAGATAAGCACAAAATATAAAATAGTATACCATAAACTATTTTAATGTGCACGTTTTAAGTACTTGTAAAATACTAAGTTGCCCTTGCTATGGTAGCAATAAGAGAAAAAAAAAACATGCTCATTTACATGTAAATAAAAAAAGGGAGAGGAAGAGTCAAAGAATATTCCAAACATTATAAAAGATTTGCTATCTATGTTTATACAAACAACTTGTTCGTTTAGGGAACAAAACAAGACGGAAACTAAAATAAATTTTCATCAGAGACTGTGGAGGAACAACTGTTTTTCTGGCATTGTATACAGCACCTTTAACACAGCAAAAAAATTTACACAGATCTAAGACTTGAACTCGGACATCAACTTGCACAACTACACCTTTGAGATCTGAGCACATTTATTTTGGTCAACAACTGAGTTCAGGATTAAGGAGGTAACATTTTTTTTAAAGATATACTGATAATAGTAACTCTGAAAAATAGTAGAAGGAGCATACCGTAACAGAGCATCCACCAACAAACCACTTAATTCTGCCAGTATTTTATGATAGCTGTTTGTTTGTTTGTTTGAGAAAAAGAAAAGCTCAGACTTGGTAATGGTCTTTTACAGGCAGAAAAGATTGAGACAGAAAGAAAAAAAATACGAATGGTACAGAAGTAGAACCTAATATTAACGCACTCCAATCACCAGCTTCATATGATGATAAATAAGATAATATGAACAGCAATGATACCCTGAGCCAACAGACACTGGCTTGCTGAATACAGCAATAATATGAAAGAGCAGACATTCTCAACAATACAGAACTGAAAAGCTGATTTCAGGGAAAAAGAAGCAAAAGTAACAGTCTGGGTTCACGAGGTTATATTCAGCTGGACAACAAGAGAAAAAAAATGACAGAAGATATATTCAGAATGTAGACAACAAGCAGACAGACACTGAAGGTGAAAGTGTAAAGTGAAATCAGTCATACAGCAGTAGCAAAAGCTAAACATCACAAGCTTCCTTACACATGTTACATGGCAACTGGTCAGACACTGTGCTCCTCATCAAGGCAATAATAAACTGTATGTGCTTATGGCGTGAAAAGACAACAAGCCAACCAAATGCCCTCTAGGGAAGCTATGCAGTGGTACAACTGCACTTCAATACATGTACTCAACTGTTTTTTCTCGAAGCTGGAGTGTAAGTCACATGGGGGTAATGTCGAGAGGAGAGGAAGAGCATAAAACAATGACAAAACTAACCAAATTAATCAGGTGTCTGAAGATCAATGATACAGCCTGAAAGACAGTTCTTTGCAAATTATTAGAGAACAGCATTTTGTTTTGGAAAGCCAACTGACACTGATGGAGAGGGAAATGAATTCAAAACCAGCTGTTGCTTGAAAACCCCTTGTTTTTAAAATTCCATAGTCTTTGAAAAATTAAATTGGGAAGATATCTATGCAAATAATTATTTTTTAAAAAGATTTGAACACAAGTATTTGAAATCCTACCTATACAATGTACTAAAATATCATTTCACAACTAAAAAGTAAACAAACAATGCCTCCCTGTATATTGTAATAGGAGTCTTGGATGAAAAAGAACAATGACATAAAGAAATGTGAATGAGGAAAGAACATTCTTTTCTTTTTTGGTGACAATGGCAATAACACAGCATTGAAATGAATGAAGGCCTGACCCTGAACCAGGGAGAATGAAACATATCTAGGTGCAGTGGAGATGAAGAAGAGTTTATCCCCAAAATGCAAGCCTTACCTTTGTCCCTAATTGATGCCTGAAGCAAGTCAGATCCGACAAGACCTCCAACAATTCCTGGATTAAACCACTCTCCAGTCAGCCACTTTTCTTGCCTGGAAAGCAAAACAAAACAAAATAACAAAAACCATAGTACCAACAGAAGTGAACATGATAACAAGAGAGTTCTCTGATAAAAAAAAAAGGATGAGGAGAACTTTTTCACCAAGTCAGAGAGGAGTAAAAAGTGAGCTTCTTTTTCTCAGTGACTAAAAGACGCAGGTCACCCAAACAAACAGCTAACTTGAGGGCTGCAAAGAGCTGAAGCAACAGAGGGTGAAACATTCAAGATGGATTAAAGGGACAATATAAATTTAGCAGATGAATACTTCAGAGAGGTATAAGGGAAAGCACAAGAACTTAAATTGCCACAAAAGTCTGTGAATCAGATAGGTTGAAGAAAGAAATTTAAGGAAGCAGAGTGAAAAGAGGAGTACAACGTAAATGGTCAACACACCCTCAGGTGGCTTCTAACCAAAATTGCTGAATTTCTTCCTGTAGAGAAACATATCATGATCAAGTGGCAGAAGAGTGTCAACTAAAGGGTATGCAAATTAGTTTTTAAGTTGAAAGATGTCATGCCTGACTTCCTATGACAAGTTGTTTTGGGAAGTGACTCAAAATCACTTTTGGAGTAAACACAATAGAAGTACAATCTTGAATCATGGGATCTCCTCCTCCCCTTCCTTCTTCTTCTTCTTCTTCTTCTTCCGGCAGGATACACATAGTGTCCCTGAGTTAGCTGTCTGTCGACATTCAGAAGATATCCTAACACACATAAGTTTGTAGTGCACACACATTCATACTCTGCATCTCCTGATCGCTTTCCTGACCTTAGACTGTGGTCACTACTACAAACATGATTATGACCAGTATAGTTTAAGACACCTGCTGCTTATTCCACTCTCTGTTCATGCTTTTTCCTTCTCACTGATTTGGTTTAGCATGTATGGATTCAACACTCCTGTAAACACGAGACATGCTGTGTAACAGGCGCGATCTCAGGATTTGACATTTAAATCTACTTCACAAAGCACTTCATGACAACAAGAGAGGCAGAATCAAACGAGGAAAGTCTTGGATGGCTGAAACAGAGGAATCCCTCAGAAAAATCTGTGTACCTGAGAGCCTACCACTTGGCGAAGAATGGGAACAGGTGGCGGGAGAATACAGGGACCTCACCAAGGTCAAAATAAGCATGGATAGAGACAGAAGAAATGTTGCTTCCATCAACGAGAGTGATATCAGCGAAGTTGCTGACAATAACTCAAAAGCAGGGGATTCTGTAATTTATAAAGATGGCTCAGTGAAAAGAGATAGTCAGCGAAGTGGATGGGGATTTGTTGCATTCATCAACAATAAAATCATCCACACTGCATCTGGAGCCTGCACCAGGACTACATCAAGTATGTGAACGGAAATTGAAGCCATCAAGAAAGCACTTGAATGGATGACCCAAGATCGCCCACACACAACCCATGCTGTTCTCATCACTGATTCCACGTGTACCCTCAGAAGGAACGAAAGAGGTTTCCAGAGAACAGAATGGACTCAACTTATCGTAGCAACACCTATACGATCGCTCACATGGATTTTCTGCCCTGGCCCTGCAGGCGTTAAGGGAAATGAAAAAGCCGACAGACTGGCTGGTGAAGCAACTCAGTTGACAGCACGGTTCAACCAGATAGGGTCGAGATCCTGAAATATCTCTCTCGCCAGCTGATTGAGGAGGAAGATAGGGAGGCAGAGGCCAGTACTGCTGTGGAGAGGATGATGCTTTTGGGAATACAAAAAGGAAGCGGAAAATCTGAGATCCTTGCAGGAAAGAACAGCAGAACATTCCACCAGATATTAAAATAAAGGCATATTCCAGTGGCAAATTCAATGCTGAACATGCTGGTTTTAAATTTTTCAAATATCTTGAACATTTTAAAGATATGTTACATTTTGTAACACAGAATGTAAAAACAAAGTTTTAAGAAAAACGGCTTTAACCTTAGTATGTTGACCCAATTTCTAGCACATTTATATAATTTGGTGACACAGCATGTTGCAAAAATAATTAATTTAAAAAAACATTCAGATTTAAAATATTATAAAATTCTTTCAATACGCTTTTATGAAATAGTTAAATGTGTTTTCTGAAGGAACAAAATTTTTTCAAAGTACCACTTTTTTAAACTTTACACCCCATTGCTCAAAAATAGTGTTGCTGACAACTGGGACCTTTCCCCAGGCATACACACATTTATCTGTCTATAGACCTTGCTGGTTCACTTTCATCTGTCCATGAAAAAACAAAATTCTCCCTTATTTATTAATCAACCTATGCCCGTGAAAACTTGCATGGCACTTCTGCAGGCCAACGACCAAACAAAAATTATTTTTTTTAAATTTTAATCCAGCAATATGAAAGTTTTTCTATATATGGGCCCTACATTAAAAACGCTCTTTGGTGCATCCATAGAATAAATAAAATAAATGATTCATAGTAACATAGCCTACAAATTGCTCATCTTGAGACAGTGACACCACATTGTCCTCACTATTTCAGTGTAAGCTTATAGATTTTATCTCACGTCTAGACATCTCCGTGTGCATCTAAAAAAGTACTCACCCTGTCTCTTGAAATGTGTTTCATAAGAGTGAGCTAAAAAAGAGTGCTTTGTGCATTAAAGTGTCATGATGAGGAAAATGTGACAACTTTCTAATGTTGCAGACGCATGCTGTAAATCCCCTACTATTTTATTGACCCACTTTAGGCTAATACTAATATCACATGAAACGTGTTGGATCCTTAGTTTGCAGAGGCCTTAATGAATGGGCTTTTAGACTGTTGGTCATCCAACTTTAAGACACGAATGCAAAGTTCTGAAAAGAACAGAGTGACCCAATTTTACCTTTTTTTAAACACGGTCAAACGAAAGTGAACAAGCTATAGAAGTTACACAAACACTTACCTCTGCTTCAAGCACAAACTGCAGAGGAAGAGGCCATTGGACTGCAGGAAGCGACACTTCTTGCACACCTTGAACTTGCAGCTGTAGCAGCGTTTGCCGTGGTCAGCCCAAGGACACACATATGACCAGAACTTGTACTTGCACCGTGCACAAATGGCGTTCTGGTCATCACCTGGGCTTAGAGCCCCAGCCACACGGATAGCCTGGATTTCTTTCTTTAGTTTACTGAAGACACAATAGAAAAAAAGATATCAAAATGAAAGGGTACATTCATAGTCACTAGCACCCACAAGAGCACATTACTCTGACCCCACCCTATTCAAAATTACTAACCAGAGGAATGGTAGGGGAACCATTTCATGAGCGCATTATTTGATGCAAATTAGTGAAGAACATTTCATAAAATAAGTATGAACTCTTTACGAAATATTTCTCCTCTGCAGATATTTTGGTCATCGTCAGACATCAATGGACGATTATTATCATTGTTATTTATCATCATTATTATTATTATTATTATTATTATTATTATTATCACAAACACACAAAACTTAAATGACGCAAAGGGGTACTGACTACATGTACACTATACCAAGTAGTTTTAGTCCAAACTAGAATCTGTAAATACAACCACTGACTGGCCTCACCTGACCCTAGAGTCCACTGACTTGCTGATGGCAAGATCCCGCTCAATGACATCATTCAACATAGCTTCCTCTGACTCTGTTAGCAGTGTTAAGTCAATGGTGTAGTTGTGAATGGGAGGGATCCATTCTGTCTTCTCCACTGTTAAAAATAAAGCAGCTTCAATGAGTGTACAGTTCAGCTAAGGAAGACAACAACATCAAGAAACTTAAAGACAAACAGTAGAGACCAAAATGAAGAAACAGAGAAGATCAACATTGTTTTTTTTGGGGGGGGAGTTTATGTTCTACCCTTGAAAAATTAGCAAAACAGGATGACAAAACCGTCTCTGGTGAAAGCCTGATGCACGTCAATGTGTGAAGTGGAAAATAAGTATACAAACAACATGAATAACATTACAAGGACTTCAAATTTTATTTTTTTTAGTTTGGGGGTTTACGCGCTCGCAACTGCATAAGGTCATATGAGCGCGCAAAACAAGTTGTTTTTTTTCTCAACAGTTTATTTCTAGGCCTGGTACTGGTCAATATTTCTATTTAAAACTTTAAAAACGCTAAAAACCGAGTGTTAATAGATTTTAGATTTAAATTAAAATTTAAAACAGCTTTCTAAATGACATTTAAAAATTCATAACTTTCAATACAGGAAAATGGCCGTCATAAAATCCAAAATTCTGTTGGGATCAACGACGGAAAAAATGTCTTGCAATTTTTTGCATTTAAAGTATTTCCTTCGGGTTTCTCCAAAGTCTAGATTTTCGGTTAAAGTGTATCTAAAGGTAAAATCTGTGTCGCATCCAACACAGAACAGCTTCTCATCTCCCAGAAGGAGGTATTTGTGTGTTAAGGCTGTGTGTCTGATGCGTAATAGAGTAAAAATGACTTCGTCTCTTCAGGAGAGGTCCGAAGGATTTCGCAGTCCCAGTTTGGGTTTAATATTGTGGAGTTAGTTACCCGTCTGTTTTTTCCAGTGGCTCTCCCACAGACTGGAGGTGTACTTTTTTACTTTATTTTTAAAGTCAGTCTGTGGGAGAGTGTTCGTCATTGATCCGAAAAGAAGGGATAAGGATTTCTTCACCAAGTCATCTACCTGCTTGTTTCCTCGAATGCCCATATGGCTAGGTATCCATGCGAACACGATATTTTTCCCTGTTTCAGCTAAGGTATGAATTTTCTGTTGTAGCCTAACTATTTTTGGGTGTAGAACAGTGTGGTTTGTGAGTGAGGTAATGCAAGACAGAGAGTCAGAAAGGATAAGGACAGATTTGTTAGGAGAATTTTCTACGGAGTCCAGTGCCATGTCAATGGCAGTGGCCTCCGAAGAGAAAATGGAGGCTTCAGGATGGAGTCTCCTCTGGTGTGTACTGTTTAAAGATAGATCTGCGGCGCCCACATCATTGTCTTTTCTGTAAGTTTGTATTCTGCTTCAAATGTTTTGGAGTTTGTGCTTTCTTTGTTGTGTGTGGTCAGCTGTAAGTCTACTTTTGCCTTGGTGAGGTGCCACGGAGGGAGGTCAGGGAAAAGAAATTGTTGGATGTCTTGTTTGGAAAAGTGTAAGTTTTTGAGGTCCTCAAGGATTCTGAGGCCGAAGGGTTTGACGAGTTTTTCGTTGTTTTGGAATTTGTTTATGGTTTCTGGGTTTGTTTTATAAATGCAGTTGTGTGCTGGGTTCTCTGGTATTGAGCTCAGTTTAATTGCGTATTGTAGTGAGAGTTGTGGGCGTTTGAGTGTGAGTGATGGTATGTTCGCCTCGGCCTGGGAAGTGTGGAAAGCCCCCAGAGCGAGGCGGAGTCCTTGATTTTGTACTGGGTCTAGCATTTTCAGGATGTGCGGTTTTGCCGATCCATAGACTTGATAGCCGTAGTCAAGCCTGGACCAGACAAGGGAGATGTACAAGTGGAGAAGGTGTTTTGAGTCTCCGGATGCGATAGAATTTTCAAAGCGTTTAACGCTTTCTGGCAACTCACATGAAGGTCTTTGATGTGAAGTATGAATGTGAGTTTTTTGTCGAATATAACGCCGAAGAAACGAGCCTGGTCCTGGACGGAAATCCCTTCCTCGTATAGTGTCAAATCCGGTTGCAGCACAAGTCTGCCTGTTCGGCAGAAGTGTACTGCAACCGTCTTTGACTGGGAAAACTTGAAACCGTTATTGTTGGCCCATTTTTCGAGTTTGTGAAGCTGCGTTTCCAGCTGCGGCTGCATTTGCAGCTGCCTTTCCATAGATCTTAGAAGAGGATTTTTCGAACGGCAGCATATCAAAAAGTCGTCAACGTATAACGGGCCGTCTATGCTGTTTTGGAGGGGTTTTACAATGGAATCTATTTTGACTTTAAATAGGAGAGGAGAAAGGGTGCTCCCCTGGGGGACTCCTTCCTCCTGTTGGTGCGGGTCTGAAAGGGAAGATCCGACACGAACCTGGACTTCAAATTGACAACAGTAAATATACTCAGAGGCAAAAGAAACGCGAATAACTAAAGCATTAATAAACACACTACACTCAACATGGATTTGTCAAGTTCATTTATGTAAATGAAATTTTAATTCATCCAACTTACACAGCCATGAGAGTGTCAATAGGTAGCTGTTTTAGGGTAGTTTCAGCCTCACTTTGTAATGTCTGTGACCCTGACCAGGGGGCAGAAAGTCAGTATCTTGTGCGACCTCCATTGGCTGCAGTAACTAAATACTGGGCATCTTCCACCCATAGGGTTCACGAGAATGTTTATTTGTCGACCTTGGATCTGTACCCACATCTGGCTGACGGCTAAAGCTAATTGAGGAGTTGTCCAAGGTGGGGGTTGTACCTGGTTCAGGAGCATCTGGATAGTGTCCCAAACGTGCCCAACAGCCATTTAAGTCAGGTGCATGAGCCGGATGAGGTAAAAGATTGATTTTGAAACTGCTATTTTACACAGTCAGCATGAGGACTTGCGTTGTCTTGCTGGAAAAAGAAATTTAGATGCTTCTAGAAAAAGGGCACCACATGAGGCTGAAGAGCTTGTTCAATGTAGCGCTGAGCTAAAACCCCAATTCCTTATCCATGACCCACTTTCTGAAATAAAACTTGTCCAGTTCTTTAACTCAGAGCGATGACTCCCAAAATCATGACGCTTGACCCTCCATAAGGGTCTCTCTCCACGACTTAAACATCAGCGCAGTACGTCAGGTCTGGGAGCCCACACAGACGCGCCCATTTGACGGATCAACGCAGAATCTGCTCGTTGTTGAACAGAACCCTTCTCCATCGTCTGTTCCTCCAGTTCATGTGAGGCTGTGCCCATAAATGCCGGTCACGGCAGTGCTGAGGGGTCAAAACTGGCCTGCGATATGGCAGTCTGCACAAGAGGTCTGTGGAGTGCAATCTCCGTCGTACTGTTCTAGTGCTCAGGGCTCACCCTGTTCATCAGATGATGTTCCTGGTGGTCTCGGCCACTGTCAGAAAGAGATCCATCCAGTATTGGTGCACCAAGAGGTGATCCTGAGTTATAGTTGTTGCCTTTGGTCTTCCGGCTCTGGGGAGATCACTGGTCGCATTGGTGGTGCGAAACCAGTATTGTATACTGTAGATGGTGGAGACATGCATGCTTTTAAAAGTTGCCACTATTCAGAACACTCACCAGGTTGAGGTCGTCCATGAGCCTCCTCGCGGTATTCTGGCGAAAGTCTCAATATTTTTATACTGTTTTCGTTTCCAATTAAATTCCATATTTCGAGGCCAAGCCTACGTGACCTCATGAACACAAACTCACTATCCGAATGATGTGACAAGTAAGTACCTGTGAGCTGTGATAGTTGTTTAGTTGTTTGTTGCATAAACAACCAATCAGGGCATTGCATTGGTCGAATGAGGTCACTCTAGCAGGTTCAGACAACGCTTCAATAGAACATATGAACAGTACTCACGAAAGGAAGCTTTGGTTAGCACTTTAACGATGTTGAATATTTCGTATTTCTTTTGCCTCTGAGTATTTTATATTTGTCTAAAAACAACTTTTCAAATTATCAAATCAATTTTTCAAAGCACACCGCCTGCTTCCATATCATATTTTCCTGGTGAAAGCTCAAGGTCTCAGAAAACCATAACAACCCCCCCCCCCCCCCCCCCAAGGTCTATCAAAACAATAATAGTAATATTTTTTTTTTCTTTAAAGATTCACCAGGAACGCACATTTCAGAAGCAATGCAGGGGAAACAATTCAAAAATTGAAATTAATATTTGAGTTCTAACAGCATGTTTTTCAAAGAATAAAATTTTTTTTCATAATCCAACCAACACAAGGTGTTCTAAGTGGGGTTTATTTATCCATCTGTAAAATAAATAAGCCTGACAAGAATATCTACTTCAGGAAAAAATATCGCCAAAAAATTAAACAATAGTGTGGTCACCAGTTTGTTAAAAAAAACAACCATTTTTTCTAAAGTGCATTAAGACTGATGGTGGCAAATAGCAGGGTAATAAAAAAAAAAGCAACTTTACAACTTTTTATCTGAATCTCGCACAAAATGTTTACTAGAATGTTGTAATTTGGAACAGATGTAATTTATTCACAAGGAATTATTTTACATAAAATTCATAAAGAAGAAGCTTATTTTCAAAAACAGAAATCATCATCATCATCAATGCCTTTCACCCCTGGCAGGGTATAGGCCACATAAAAGCTCCTTCCATTTATCTCTGTCCTGAGCCATCCTTCCTAGCTCGTTCCAAGTGAGCTTCATTTCTCTCATGTCCCTTTCCACGCATCTCCTCTATGTTTCCCGTGGCCTACCCCTGCCTCGTGCTCCTTGTGGGTTCCACTGCAGTGACTGTCTTGTGATGTTTCTGCTGGGCTTTCTTAAAGTGAGTCCCATCCATCGCCACTTTCTTAGTCCTATTTCTACTTCTATATCCTTTTGTCCTGTCCTTTCCCACAGCTCTTCATTTCTTATTCTATCCTGCCACTTAATTCTTAGAATACTCCTCAAACATCTGTTGATGAAAGTCTGGACTTTATTCAGTATTGTTTTCGTTGTCATCCAAGTTTCGCAGCCGTAGAGGAGCACAGACTTGACGTTGGAGTTAAAAAGTCGAATCTTGGTGCGCAGTGAGATGTTGCTTGCTTTCCAGACTTTTGATAATTGCTTGAAGGCTGACCTTGCCTTGACGGTTCTTGCTTTAACATCTGCTTCGGTTCCACCTTTACCATCGATGACACTTCCAAGGTAGGTAAAGGAGTCCACTTCTTTCAGGGGAGTGTCTTCCACTGTAACAGCAAGGTTTGAAACTTTTCCTAGCTTCACTACTTTTGACTTGCCTGGATGTATACGTAGGCCAACACTCTTTGATAGGCTGTTGAGTTCCTTGGTCTTTTCTTGCATCTGAGCATGTGTGTGAGAGAGCAGTGCAAGGTCATGGGCGAAGTGTAAGTCGTCCAGCTGCTGCCAAGGGGTCCATTGTATTCCATTACGTTTGCCTCTGGTGGCTTCTTTCATGACCCAGTCAATTGCCAGTATGAAGAGAAAAGGTGAGAGCAAGCATCCTTGTCGCACTCCTGTCTGTACCCGGAATGGTTCTGAGAGTTGTCCTTCGTGGAAGACTTGACAGCTTGTTCCATCATAGGTGGCCTTCACAAGCTTAACGATTTTCTCAGGTATTCCAAAATGCCGCATGAGTTTCCACAGAGTTTCCCTGTCCACGCTGTCAAACGCCTTTTCATAGTCAATGAAGTTGACCACGAGTGGTGAATTCCATTCAAGCGATTGCTCAACAATGATACGCAGAGTAGCGATCTGGTCCACACACATGATCGGTTTTTGCGGAATCCTGCCTGGTTTCCTTGAAGCTTCTCATCTGTTGCCAGCTTGATTCTCTCCAGGAGTATCCTGTTGAAGACTTTCCCAGGTATGGAAAGGAGTGTAATGCCTCTGTAGTTGTTAAAGTTGCTGAGGTCTCCTTTCTTTGGCAGCTTGACTAGGTGGCCTTTCTTCCAGTCTGATGGTATTTCCTCCTTTTGCCAAACTTTTTCAAATAGAGCATAGAGAATTTCCACAAACGTATCATTCTCAACCTTAAGGGCTTCCGGTGGTATATGGTCGGGACCAGCTGCCTTGTGGGACTTCAGTGTTTTTATAGCGGCTGCAATTTCCTCTCTTGAAGGTGGTTCCGTGACTATTGGAAGGTAATTTCTGGCTGGAAGAATTTCTGGTTGGTTTTCTGGAGGTGGTCTGTTCAATAGTTGATCAAAGTGTTCTCTCCATCGGTTAAGTTGCCCCTCTGGGTTGAAGATAGTCTTTCCTTCTTTGTCTTTCACTGGTAGAGTGCGCTTGCTAAACCTACCTGAAAGAGTTCTTGTAGTCTGGTGTACAATCCGTAAGTGCCCGTCTGTTGCTGCTTTCTCTGCCTTTTCGGCCAGGCCATTCAGGTAGGTATTCTTGTCCTTCTTGATGGAATTCTTTACCTCCCGGTTTACTTTGGTGTACTCTTGTTGTGCAGCGAGTTTCTCAGTTCGGGTACGGCTGTTGTTGACTTGGGCTTTCAGCTCTCTTCTTCTTTTGACTTTGTCTAGAGAGTCCTGTGAAATCCATTCATTCCTGGTGTTGTCTTTGGGTCCTAGGGTGCTCTGGCAAGTTGCATTTACTGCCTCTCTTATCTTATCCCAGTGTTCGTTGACTTCACATTCATCCAGATTTTGAAGGGCTTGAAATCTGTTCTTCAGTTCCAACTTGAACTCGTTCATCTTTACTGGGTCTTTCAGAAGGCTCACTTCATACTTTACACGATTTCCAGCGGCGACTTGTGCATATCTTCTCAGTTTTAGTTTCATCTTTCCAAGGATCAAATGGTGGTCTGATGCGATGTCTGCTCCTCGTAAGACTCGGATGTCCTCCAGTGAGCATCTAAACTTTCGGGAGATGCAAAAGTGGTCAATCTGGTTTTCCGTTGTTCCATCCGGAGAGACCCAAGTGGCCTCGTGAATCCTTTTATGTGGGAAGATTGTACCTCCAATGACCAAGTTGTTGAATGTACAGAAGTTTTGGAACCTTTCTCCGTTGTCATTTGCCTCTCCTAATCCGTGTCTGCCCATGATTTCCTCATTGTGACTATTGTCCGAACCTACCTTTGCATTTAGATCTCCCATGACAATGTTGATGTCTTTACCTGGAAGTTTGTCGATGACGTTCTGCAGGCGGTAGTAGAAGTCATCTTTATTCTCCACTTCTGCATCATTGGTTGGAGCAAACACTTGTATGATGTTCATGTTAATGACCTTCTTCCTACCATCTCTTACCTTGAGTTCTTTCTTAGCTCCAAATGAGGCCATGATGATTCTTGGACCATGTGCTTCCCAGCCCCTGAATGTCTTTTGAGCTGTTTTTGATATGATCATCCCTACTCCTTCCCTGTGTGGTCCATCACTGTCATTTTCTGAATAAATGAAAAAGCTCCCCCTCTTTCATTCGCTTCTGTCCAGACTGGTTCAAGTGGGTCTCGCTGATTCCCAGTATGTGTAGTTGATATCGGTGCATTTCTTGGAGAACTTGTGCAGCTTTTCCAGCCTCATAAAGGGTCCTAACGTTCCACGAGCCGATCCGAAGAGACTTGGACTTGGATGATGGTCGCTGCGTTGCAACATGAACTCTCCATTTGGAGAAGATCCACGATAGGCCAAGCAGAGATAATGGTTTTTGCTTGTATGTGTTTCTGTAACAGGTTCTTTTTACGAGAGAGGTTGTTAGCCTCGTGACTCAACCCCCGACCTGGAGGCAGGATGACTCTGTTTCAGGAGTCACTACCTGGTTCGTCATTTAGTCGCCTCGTACGACACGCTAGCACCACGTCAGTCCTATTCTTCTCAATGTCGAGACTGCACGGCTAAAAAAATTGGAAATGGCTTTAATAAAAACCACCTATAAACGCAAAATGCAGCAATCTAAAAGTCCTGTAAGGAAAGTCGTGAAATGATTGGTTTGTTTTTTCCCTTCCTTTTCTTTTTAAAATCTAATTTTCCATCCCTGTAACATTTAAATAATATTTCTATTCTCTTACAGAGTTATAAAGAATATTTTTGAAATTCTGTAATTCTGATACCCAGTGCATTTGTGGAGCTAACATATCCTGAAAGGAGAATATGGGCTTTGCCACTCTGAACTAAACGTCATCGAGGAAATTTAACACTTTTCAAGACGATCGAAGAATTATGAACACATTGCCATCCTCAGATCCATGTCAGCATCGCAAGGCTAAAACAGCACCTGGACATGGATGGCTGGTGCCTCTATAAATAAATCATTGATGGTCTGGTCAGCTTCGCAAACAGGAAAATGGTACAGTTGTAGATGAAGATCTGCTTTGAGAATGTGGACCGTTGAAGTGTAGGAAAGTCCAAGCCGCAGACATCGCAATGGGGTTCATGTACTGAATTATGAACCCTCGTGACTTTTAAAGGGATCCGAATGGTGTGTGTGACCTGAAATGTTTGTTTTGTTTGGGAATTTTTTTTTCTGATTCTCTACAGGTCCTGACAGATGGACCATTTCCACCTCAACATCAAAGAAGGCCTTATATAGGGGCAGTAACATTATTGCCATACCTTGTACAAAACTGACGAAATGAGTTAGCGGTGAGGTAACGTTCAATACAAAAAGCTTTCTGCTCTTTACATATCTTAACCATGATCTCATCAGGCTAAGGAAACTTGGGAAAAAACTATCTTTAAACTTCTGCTGGTCTGTTAGACTAATGTAGCTTGCAATATGGCGCAATCGTTGGGACTTTTAGTGGTAGACCTAATGCGAATTAGTGTGTCATGCTACTTCAGCTGAAAATGGGGGGGGGGGGGTTTATGCTATGTAGAGCAAAACTATTTTGTGGATTTATCTAAAAAGAATATCAGCCAAATTCCTTTATACTTCCAAATGCTGTGTACAAATTTGAAACGCAAAACTTCAGTGTGTAGGAAATTATTTACAAAAAAAGTTGTTAAGTTTTTGTTTTTTTTATCACCCTGTAATTTATTATCATTTGCAATTAATTTTAAAAAGAAATATTCACCTTTTAATTTATTGCCTTGCCTCAAAGAAGTAAGGGGATTCTAAAGATGACCACAACAAACAAACATATTTGCAAAGAAAACTGCTTTTGAAAATTAAAAGAAAGACATATTGAATTTTTCAAGAGGTATCATTACCATGAACTGTTTTTTTTTTTTATAGCATTTACAAAATTCAAAAAAATTCAGTCAAGTTGTAAGTATAATATTTCCACTTTAACAAGTTTGACAATCTCATTATAATTGTTCGTGCAATAATTTATTTTCTTCGTCCCTCAAGTTTAATCTTATCCCATTGTTCTTTTCCAAATAAAGTCTTCTCTACTCCTAAATTAATCAAAATGTCTCCTCTGCTCACAAAACACTGCTCTAAATTATCAATGTCAAAAAATTTAAGCACAAAGTAGATATATTTTCAGGTGAAGGGAGAAATTAATATTTAGGGTTGGACAAAGTCAAACCAAAGAAAACATTTGCTGAGGAAAGTAAGGAAGTAATTACTGACCTGCTTTGTTTTTTCTGCGATCTACAGGCATGTTGACCAATTAGTGTATTCCAGTCTTGACCATCCCAAAGTGAAGGGAAAGAAAAAAGAAAGAATTAAAAAATTAGTGTCAGCAGAATGCTGCAAGAAATCAAGTCAAAAGTTAACATGATATTCAGTTTTGAATTCCTTTCAAACAAAAGGCTTCATCAATGCCCAAAACAGCTCTTTTGGCTGTGGCTGAAGAGTAAAAATTCTGTTTTGCTGATTCAGCTGCCAAGTGTTTGTGCATTCAGTAGCAGCCTATTATGCTCAAACAAAGCATACACATCTTCACCCCCATCCAACAAAATCCAAAAATAAACCCCCAAAAACTAAGGCAATAAAATGTTTAATAACCTAGAGTGCAAAGCCATAAAGAATAATGAGATTTTACGGCTATAAAACTGTGTTGTGAGAAGCATTGAGATTTATGTAACACAAGAATTCGCATCTATTTATAATCCAAACAGAGAGCCCGAGGCAGTCTCGCGTCAGGCAGGCAGTGAAGGGGAAAAAGGCCCAGTAGATAGGATGGAGCACCATTCTTCAGGTATTTATAAAAGATGGTAGATACTTAATTTATGTTTGAAGCCAGGGCACAGGTTTTTACATTTTTATGTAGGATCTTTCTTCTTGTTCTTCAACACTAGTCTTGTGGTGTTATTTTCAGCCGCAAGCAATTTCTTCATTTTCTCACATCAGATACTAAGCAAAACAGAATTGCAACAGTCGTTTAATTTTTGACACAATGACAGAGACAACCAGCATGAAAATATCATTTGAAAAAAGTGTTTAAACTTACTCATTCTTCTGAGAACAAGCTGTACATACATCGAGCGACATATTATAGACTTTGCTGTCCATGAACATAGATCTATCTGAATCTAAATACTTACAAAGGTTCTTTTCACCTTCCTGGAAAGTGACATTATACTTGTACTCTGATCTTAGATTTCTACATGGTTTCTATGTAAATCTTTAAAATGTTTTAAACTTCCAAATAGGACGTTTTTTTGTTTTTACGTTAACTTAGCATAAATTTGTTCTCACACATTCATTTTTGCCCCTTTTCAATGCATTTCTCTACTCTTTCTATAAATTTGTCGGGTACTCTTTTATTTCAACAGCAAAAATGTTGGGTATACATTGTTAATGGGTCTAAACTAAGCCATGGGGAACATCAAACTTAAAAATGCCCTTTTATAACTCAATGTCTTGTATCCCAACAGATTGGTAGATTATAGCGTACTGACACAGCATGGACACTCAGTGGGCCTCACTGACACAGGCCAAAGCAAATCATTGGCTATGAAATCAGAAATGGATCTATCAGCAACAATTCAAAAATTCAAGGTAAACGTTTTTAAGTTAATGCAAACAATGCAACTCGTACATTCTAGCCCCATAATAGTCCTTTGAAAATAAGCATTACAAATTACGCTAACGACACATTAGTAACATGCATTCACACTAAACTAGAAAACGTTCCACATACTACTTTTCTTGATGCAAAGTCCATGTAAGCCGTGCGGGAAACACCTATCTCATCTGATCTTCATCTGTGGATAAAAGGAAAAGGTTATAAGACACTAGAAGAACAGCAACAATCATTGATGGGAGGATGAGGGGGAGGGGGAGG